CGCGGCCGCTTGTACTTGCGCCTGCGCCTGTGCGGCGACGATCTGGGACGCCGCGGCGACCGGTAAGGGCGGTTGGGGCGCCAGCCTGACGCCCAGGGCGCCCAACACCACCCTCTTGCCGAGGGCCAACGCGCCCTGTTGAACCGCCTCCTTCGGCTGAGCCTTCTTGCACTCCACTTTCTTGTTCTTGATCGTGTGAAAGTGAATCTCGCACACGCGATCCACCACGTCCTCGTTCTCGAACGTAACGAAACCGAAGCCACGGTGCCGTTTCGTCTGTTGGTCCATCAGCATCACCGTCTCCTCGACTTTGCCGAACTGGTTGAAGTAGGCCTTCACTTCCTCGCTGCTCGTGTCCTGACTCACGCCGCCAACGAAGATCTTCTTCGTGCGGTTCGCCTGTTTCGCGCGATTCTTTGGCGTCGCGTGTTTCGGGTCGATCTTCTTCCCGTCCAACGTATGAATCGGACACTTCAGCACCTTGTCCACGCTACCCGGCTCCGCGAACGTGATGAAACCGAAGCCGCGACTACGCTGTAACCGAACAAGCCAGAACGGCCACGATGCACAACGACCGTCTCTTTTATCCTTTTTTCTTTCTGTCCCTTCCTTCTCTTTGTCCCTTTCATTTATTTTTTTTTTTCTTTATATTTCCGTTTCTTTCTCTCTCTCTCTCTCTCACTCGTTCGTTCTCTTTTTCTCGCTTTCCTCGCCCTATAATAGCCCGCGTACTATCTCGCTTTCGCACGCCTATCTCCGTGTCCCTTGGCTCTTCGACGAGCCACTGTCGCGATGCTTTTCTCCGCTGGCCGCATTCGCCTATCCGATTTTCCCGGCGGATCAATCGACGCCTAAATCTCGCGGTTACGAATCCGAACTTTTCGCGTTCGTCGAAAAGGTTTCTCTATCGTACACTGTATGTAAAAAAAGGTACCACGATATCTTCTCTTATGTACAATTAAACTAAATACTACCAAACTACCGTATACATGCAAGACTGTCCAAGCCAATGTAAGACAAACATTCTAGGATTACGTGAGAGACAAGGACTTCGAATAAATGATATAAGACTCAAATGAAGTTACGATCGTTAATTGCATCGCTACCGAATTACGATAATCTATATGCCCACAGTCCTCGTACGTGATTACTATTACGTTGTCATCCGTTTATCCCGTGTGCGAACGCATCTTTAGAAACGAGCCTCTGCCTCTTTTCCACCTTTTACGTTTTAAATACAAGTTTTGATACAGTAAAGATACCAAAAGATACGTTTCTACTTCCTTTACACTGTCTCAGCAAATTAGTTACATCGATTAGTACAACTTCTCTTCTACGGTCTACTGTGTGAAATCTCGTGCAAAAGTGGAAGGAAGAAACTGGTGCATCGAATCTCCTCGAGACGAATCGCGTTTCGATCTTTTCTCTTGTTCCCCCGATTCACCCTCTCTCGCCCTAAACCACCCCTTTTGGCCCCGAACGATTTGACCTATCGAGGAGGAAATTAACCGAAAATATTCTCCCGTCTCGATAGCCCGCGAGTTTCTTCCGAAACAGATCTCGATCGAGAAACTACTAGAAATCCAAAACGCGTTTAAGATTAAAATCGAGATCTTTGGAACAAGCTCGAGGCAGGCTACCGGTTAGAATGGATAAGCCACGAGAGCTTCCATCGGACCAACCTGTGTGACCGGATCCTTCATGATGAGGACGTCGGTGACGGTGCCGAACATGCCAAAGTACTCCCTGAGTTTTTCGCTGCTCGTCTGCCAGGACAAACCACCGACGAACAATTTCCCCGGTGCGGGGTCGC